AGAAAGGTGCACTAAAGAATGGGGGGAATGCATGGCTCTGCAAGTGGATTCTAATTCTTGTCAGCCTTAGCCAGTATAGCCAATGGTGGGGGATAGTAGGAGGTGCAGATCAATATCAAATGTAGGGTCCATGATGAAACACAATGCATGGATTTATATGTGGACATGGTGACCGTGTGTGTGTGTGTGTGTGTTTGTGAGATATCTCGTGTTCTTGTGCTGTTGTGTGCCTTCAAGTCATACCTGACTTATGGTGACCCTATCACACAATTTTCTTGACAGGTTTTGTTCAGAGGAAGGCAAAAGCAAACCTCTCTGAACAAATCTTGCTTTTCCATATTTCTTCCTGCCTGTGTATGCATGTGCCTTCATGTCACCTGTTGACCCCATGAACTTCACAGGGTTTTCTTAGGAAAAGAATACGCAGAGCTGCAAGGTTCCTTCCTTGACAGTTCCTTCTTCTGAAATCTGTTTTACAGCACCTATTATTTGTTGGAGACATCCAATCCAAGTATTAATCAGGGTCAACCCTGATTAGCTTTTTATTTCAAGTGGGATATGGTGCCTTCAGGGTATTTAGGCTTAGCTTCTACTTTTCTACTAATATGCATATATTTTAGCATACTGAAAGACTTGCAAATTTTTGCAAGATTGTCAGCAAATATGAGAAATAAGTAACCCCATCAAAAGCTTGACTGAGCAGTTCTAAGCACATTAGAGTTAGATAATCCCCTCCCATTTCTAAAGGGGATTTTTGTGTAACATGCTTAGGCTTAGCGTATATAAAAGGCTGAGAACATGTGCAGCATGCATACATACCCATGAGTCATTATCATTAAAAACATAGAAGAATATTCTTAAATCAGATAATGGAAGGGACTCATTTATCCCCAAGTTCCATCCATTGGGTTGGGTCCAGTTTTCGGGATGTGAAACTGGGCTAGTGGGAATTGATATCTCTGCTTGATTCTCCTCAAAGTTCTTTCATTTGCCTGAAAACACTACATAAACACACACATAGTTGAGTGGAGGCAACTTCTATGGCAGTGGTTCTCAACCTGTGGGTCCCCAGATGTTTTGGCCTACAACTCCCAAAAATCCCAGCCAGTTTACCAGCTGTTAGGAGTTCTGGGAGTTGAAGGCCAAAACATCTGGGGACACACAAGCTGAGAACCACAGATGTTGGAGAAATAAAGGAACACCAACAATAGACGAATGGTTATTGAAACTAATGGAAATCATGAATATGGATAGATTGTCTTTCTTGATGATGCCGTACCAAAGAAGAAGGGAGATACAAATTAACTGGGAATTAGTAAAAGATTACCTCAAAAAAGATAAGATGAAAATTTTGATTTAAAAGGTTGGGATAGCTTGTCATAAATTAAGAAGCTTTGGCCTAGGGAATAATATGAATGAAAAATAAGGAAAAAGAAGAGAAAACTAAGATAGGCAACGATGTTTTCAGTAAACATTCTGAGACCGCCACCAAATTGCAGAGGGAAGTCAACAACTTTTTTGGGGGGGGGGGTGAGTGTTTGGGTGATTTTAAAAAAATACTTTTTTATTATTATTACTATTTTTCTTCTTTCTTCTTCTTCTTTCTTCTCTCTCTCTCGAATTCCTACTTTTCTTGACTATATTGTTCTCCCACTTTCCATGTAAAAGAACTTCTTTCTATGTTCCTTTTCTCTTATTTTTTTTATTAAATTGGTGGGATCCTGTCCATTGAAAGCAAATCCAACAACTCAAATTATTCATAATGTATTAGCAAAAGATCACAAAGGAGATACCATTATAACATCTGATAGTTGTGCCAAGGATGGGTGAAACAATGCAGGAGAAAACAAAATCCTTTTGGATAATTAAGACATTTGACAAAAATTCAGCCATAAACTGTGTATGTGAAAGAGGCAAGCTACTGACATTCATTGGTTCAGTTACATTGAAAGTACACAATAAATCTTCTCTGTATACGTTCCTTGCCCTTTAAAGGGTGAACGAGTTATAGACATCCAGAAATTTCACTGACCATCAGCAAGATCTTGGAGTGCTGTATTTCTGCTTACATTATATTCTCTCTCATTCTCTGGTGGGGATGAAATGCAATTTTGCTGATTTGGTGGTCCAAAAGGGCTTTAGAAATTAATTGGAAGTGGATTTTGAGTTTACTTTCTGGTTAAATAAAAACTTCTCTTGAACGTAGAAGAATCTAGGGGAACCCAAAAAACATGACAAAAAATGGCAGCACACACATCAGGTGAGGTAAAATTATCAGGAAAAGGAGCTTACAGAAGTACAAGAAACAACACTGTTGGTGTCATAGTTTTTGTCCCAGCAGATTACTCAGATGTGGAGATTGCACACTGAGATACAAGTAGAAATTGTACTGCTTTCTAATTCACAGCTGAAGATGGATTGGGTGGGAGTCTACACTAACCACACACATAAAAAGGAAAGTAGAGAAGGTATCAAGGGAAAAAAGACAGAAGCCCAAGGTCAGCTTTTCACATTGCATTTACCATTGCCTGCTTGAAAACCAGGTCACAATTGCAAAGGATAATCTCATAAGCTTTAAAGAAAACCTGAATATGCTCCCTGTTTCCCCACTTCCCCATCACATATTTCTGGGCATCTTAACATCATACTCCCAAATTTCTATATCATTCCTGTTGTGTAAGACCAAGACAAAGAATCTAACTCCTTAAACCAGAGCATAAGCTAACTGCTCATTTATGCACATGGCTAACTCCTCACACCTCCCATTTTGTAACAGGTAAACAAACCAGGCAGATATAGTGTAGCCTGACATTTCAATCCATGATTACAGTGGACTACATCCAAACGGCTTTAACATCAGAGATCGCTGGGAATTTACAAATCCTGGCAACAACATCAACAACGAAAGCCCAATTCTGAGTTTGACAAACTGCCATTTATCACTTCCTTTATGTAATAGGAAATACCAGGGATGGGGAATCCCAAATTCAGGGACCTTTTTAAAACTCAATTGTGGTCATCCCCTTTTCTTCTTGACAGGATTGTTTGGTGGTTCCCCAACTTCTGCATTGGCTTTTCCCCCATTCTAAAAGGTAGAAATGCCTCGCAGAAAAAAAACAATAACCTCAATTATGGTTTCATAATTTTGCCTCTACCCACTACTGGAAAGCCATTCCCTGCCCAAACATCTCTGTCCTTGAATTCAGTCTTTAGGTTGATGGTAGTGGGTGGAGGAGACTATATCCTCCTCTGTACCCCAACTATCTATCTAAGGAGCATTCTCATCATGCTTTCGTATCCTCTGGGCCTTTTTTGTTTATACAGCACTTTTCAGCAAAAGAGTTTCTCAGGGTGACTTCCAAATCCTGGAATTGGCATAAGAACTTTCTTTGGCATAAATTGGCCCGGGGTCACAAACATGGCAAAAAAAGTCACTGTACTCCCCTAGATGTTATTTAGAGACATTCAAGCTCTATAGTGACATGTAAGCTCTAGCAAGCCCTGAAGCCACAAAAGGGACCCTGAGGTTCACATGGGTCAACATTGATTTAAACTGAAAGAAGTGCTCCCATCCTTGCTTTAAGCTACATCTCCTGGATTTGTTTATCTACCTGCTTGAAGAAAGAGGCCACGCTGGAGCAACCTGGCTGTTTGTATCAACAGGTTGCACATACACATTGTGATTTAATATTTCCCTTCCTTGGGGTAGATTTTTTATTAATTCCTGTTGTTTCACCCCTGTTCTTAACTATGAGTCAGCTTTCATGGGTTATCATCACCAATACCATCATTAGCAGCCAGCAGTGGAGCCCATGGAAGCTATTGAGAAAGAAGGTTAAAAAAAAGTAGCTCAATAGCTTCCATGACCAGAAAAGGTGGAATAAGATCTTTGTAAACATTTCTGTTAATTTCTGATGCAGCAGTAGCCTTCTTGGATTGTATGCAGCAAGGAGCCTAGTGATAAGGAGAGACAATTGAGAAAATACTGTACTGTAATTAGGATATTATCTTGATTGCAATGCAGGGCAATGTGCAACATTTATTTTGTGAAAATATTCTACCCATTTGTTTTTTCAGAGGCCACACTGTCCTCCTATTCATAAGACTCCAAAGACATGAGAAATTTCATGCAAGATGTCTCTGAGAAAATTCTGCCAATGTGGGAAACTGAGACATAGCACCAAGTGCTATTTATATGGAAGAAGAAGCTCTCATGGATATACAATATATTCTCCTTTTCAAGATCATGCCCTCTTTTTCAGAGCCAAAATTTCTCTTCGGGGCCTTTTTAAAATGCCCATTTCTGTTACAATGTACAGGCAGTTCCCAAGTTATGAATAAGATAGGTTCTGTAGGTTTGCCCTTAAGCTGAATTTATTTGTAAGTCAGAACAGGTACTTTTTATGTGTAACACATAATGTTAAATAGCCTCTGCATGTCTATCTATATATGTTGTGTGTCTATGGCATTGAATGTTTGCCATGTATATGTGCATTGTGATCCCCCCTGAGTCCCCTGTGGGGTGAGAAGGGCAGAATATATATACTGTAAATAAATAAATAAATTTTAAAGATTTTTAATTTCTTGTGCAATCTTGATTGAAATTTACAGAGTACTTGAACGTGACTATTATTTTAAAAATCTAAATATTTTGATTGAAATAGATGCTCAAGTGTATTGACCCCACTCTTCACTTGCCCAGAAATGTTATGCACAGATACACCGTTTTATCTCCATCGAAGTGTGGAAAGCTAACTGCAACTTCAATAGAACAAAAGAGTGGTGGCTAGGTAGCACAAGAAGCTTGCCTGCCTTGAAGCACTTTAATCCATTTCTCTCTCAGCTGGATCCTAAACTTATACGTCACAGAAGACAGACAGGTTAAAATGAATTCTACCTTTTTTTGTTGTTGCCAAAATTGCATCAAGATGGCATTTGAGGTCTTTGAAGTTAAAAAACAAAACAAAACAAAACCAAAAACTTCAACACAAATTGATTACCTGATGCTGGTCCCACATCCAAGCTGGAATCATTGATGTCCCCACCATCTTCCCAGAAAAACTGGGGCTGAAGAGCCTTGGAGTCTTCATTCTCTTCACTAGAAAAACCAGAGCCAGGTGCGGCTTGCAGAGCACTTGGGCCAAGCTCAGATACTTCCTGGTTGGCCTGTTCACTGGAGTCCAAAGACTCTAGATGGGATATTGCTCTGAAATCCACCAGGGAAGTTGAGCTCAGACCTTCGGTACCAGCATCTTCCAGTACAGGAAGGCAGACGCACAAAGAGCCTACAAACAAGAATGGGAGACTCATCAGTTGTAAGGAATAAGACAAATGACAGACCCGAAAACAAAGCAATTCAGATGAAGCTCTTCTCTCCTCTCCCTTGGCATTACAGGCTGTGTTTCCCTCATCCAGAAATCCAAAAAACACCAAAATCTGTAATTGTGGCTGAGATCGTGACACCTTTATGTTAGTGGAATATACCGAACTTTGCTTCATGCACAAAATGAATTAAAATATTTAGTTCTTGTGGGTTTTTTCGGGCTATATGGCCATGTTCTAGAGGCATTTCTCCTGACGTTTCGCCTGCATCTATGGCAAGCATCTTGCCATAGATGCAGGCGAAACGTCAGGAGAAATGCCTCTAGAACATGGCCATATAGCCCGAAAAAACCCACAAGAACTTAGTGATTCCAGCCATGAAAGCCTTCGACAATACAATAAAAATATTATATAAAATTACCTTCAGGCTATAAATATATAAAGTATGCATGAAACATAAATGAATGTTGTGTTTAGACATAGGTCCTATTTCCAAGGTATCTTTTTATGTATTCAAAATATATTGATTCCAAAATCTGGGGAAAAAAATCAAAATCCAAAATACTTCTTGTTCCATTTTGAATAAAGGATAGTCAATTTGTACTACATCATCTGCAGTAATATCACAAGAAGAATGAATTGATTATATATGGGAATAATGTTCTCATGTAAGAAAAATATAGTGTATCCAATGCTGAGAAAATGACACACAGCTGCAACACAATCAGTCTGAAAGAAGTCTTTAAAAGCCTGCATAATAAAAGAGGGTAACAGTGAATTTAATTGCATTGAAAATCAGTTGTCTTGAATAGATTTAATGTGTCTTTAAAGATAAATTGAAATCCTGTATATGAACGTGTATAGCACTCTTCATATGTCTCAGACAAAAACTGAACATTTCTAAGTCCCCCCCCCCGAAATGGAAAAGTAGCCCCTTCTGTTTCATTATTCTGAAGATCATATACTGACACACTCAATTATGCTTTATCTTTGCCTTTAGACTACAAACATCGTTAAGATTATTTTGGTTTACCATGTCACAAGAACATCTAATATCCAGCTTCCCTTCCCCAAACCTTCCTCAGGTATTGCACTATGAGAGTAACTTCCCTCTGTTCATTATAATTTCAAAATACAGCTTCAAAGATAGATTTTACATAAATTTGGTAGTGCAATTCCACTAATAAAAGCTTTCCCTCATTTTGAAATTGTGACTTTCAGTGGACTAAGTGTTGTCTCCACTTACTGCGATCTAGAATATAGTTGATGCTGATAATAATATGATATTGAGCAAGACAAAGAATTGCAATCGAAGCCAAAGCTTTTAAACAGACATGCTGACTGATTTCTTAGAACTGTATATTTTGCTTCTTTTTGATATGCTTGTTTTTCTGTTCTGTGCTGCTCAATAAATGCTGCTTTTCTTTAAGAGTTTATTTGCACCAGTTTTATTAAGCTATCTCAAACTACATAGCTTTACTATTACTCAATATATACTAATAGGATTTAGATTTTGCTATCCTTTGTCTTGGTTCCCATATAGCCAAAAGACAAGTGGCCTCTGTTTACCCAGTGGTTCTCAACCTGGGGTCCCCAGATGTTTTTGGCCTACAACTCCCAGAAATCTCAGCCAGTTTATCAGCTGTTGTAGGCCAAAAATATCTGGGGACCCCAGGTTGAGAACCACTGGTTTACACTGAGATGCCTCCAAAAAAAAAATCAGCTACAATTGAAACAGCATCTGATACAAAATGCACATCACTTTTGCTTCCAGGAGACACAAAAAATGTGTCTCCTGGAAGATATATGTTTTTAAGCACTGTTGAAAAAAATTTTGCATTACATGTTTTGTGCATTTTGATTAGACAATAAACTCTTTGGTGGGTTTTGTATTTTGTTTTATATTGCTCAATATAGTTACTCTTGTTAATGGTACAGAGAAAAAATAAAGTATGTAGTAGGTTGGAAAATTCTGTTAAGTAAACAACAAAATATGTGCACTTACATTAACTTGACTTTCTCTTAATTTCTTTTAAATTTACGTTTCTAATCATATTATTTACAGATTATTTCATCTGGTGCATATACACATAAAAAGGTACCACATAGTCATCCTCCTGAATATTGATGTTAACAATTAGATAGGCATATATAAAGCAAACATTTACAATCCTTTTATACATTCTATTTAATAGACTCCCCATTGTTATGCCAGGATAACTAAATATAGACTAAAAAACTATCCTTAACTATCTGCTTTCTTTATAGGACATTTCCCATTTTTATTGTCAACTTGCAGCAGAAATATTAAAAAGGATTTATTTTAATTGTCAAAACTTGTTAAGACCCAATCCTTTTTTATTTTTGGACCAGGCTGTGGCACAGCTAGTTAGTAGCCAGCTGCATTAAATCACTATTACTGAGAGGTCATGAGTTTGAAGCCAGCCTGGGTTGAAGTAAGCTCCTGACCATTAATAGTCTAGCTTGCTGTCAACCTATGCAGCCCGAAAGACAGTTGCATCTGTCAAGTAGGAAATTTAGCTGCTGTTTTATGCGGGGAGGCTAATCTAACTAATTTATGATGCCATAAAACCTTCCAGCGGTGTGCAGTAGAATGAGGAAGTACTCCATCAAAGCACCTGGTGTCACAAGTGGATGGTGAAGCAGCAGCTCCCCTGTGGCCAGCACCAAGCATACCCAGAACCAAGTATACCAAGCATACCCTCATGAAGCCGGAAAAGCTGGAATATTAAATTGCCTCTATGTCTGTCTATATATGTTGTGTGTCTAAATGGCATTGAATGTTTGCCATGTATATGTGCATTGTAATCTACCCTGAGTCCCTTGGGGGTCAGAAGGGTGGAATATAAATACTGTAGATAAATAAATATTTTTTCAAATACAATAAAATGGTGTTGAATTGTTCTCGAAATTCTGTATAGATTTGTTTTTCAATATCCAAGAGAGTTTATTCTTCCCATTGAATCAATTTTAGTAACCAATTAACTACTGCAGGAATCTTTTCTAATTTCAGGTTTTTTACATTAATAATGCAAGCAGCTGTTACTATGTTGCAAGCCATGGCACCCTCCTGTCCAAAAGTTATAGAACAATAAAGACATTGTAAGGAAGATACTGTATATGATTTAAACATTTTCTGTGGCTCCAAAGTTGCACAGTGTCGAAGCCGCTAGAGGCTCAAGGATGGACCTAGGAGCAGCTATACTGTAAAAACTCAACTAAATCTAACCCTAAGATATGTACTTAATATTACTTGTATCATTTATATAATATGACAATTCCTACATGTATAAAATGTGTCAAAATGTATCTTGATGGCAGCTTCCTTTCCATGCCCTCAGTTTGCATAATCCCTTGGGCACACAGATCAGGGCCAGGGTCCCTCTAGCTATTTCCCAAGCCTTTATTATTTATTTACTGTATTTATATCCTGCTCTTCTCAGTCTGAAGAGGACTCTAAGCGGCCTTACATTTGGCAGCAATTTGATGCCATATCAACAGACATATAACTGTTTTGGACTTTATAGGTTAAAGCCAGCACTTTGAATTGTGCTTGGTATATATATATATGTATGTATGTATGTGTGTGTATATATATATATATATATATATATATATATATATATATATATATATATGCAAGACAGAATGACCTCCTTTGTCACCAAGATGAGTGGAAAATGATTAAGGCTGAAAGTATGCCACTCCTTTGGAAGAGGAGGCTCAAAAACATGAATTCATTAACTTTCTGAATGGATAGACAACTGGACACTTGAATTAATCATATCCATGCCACCACTTCCTCCAAGTTCACACCTTCCCACAGGGTATCTCTGCAACAGATTGGACCTTCAAACTGTCCAACCACCAGCTGTCTTTCTTCTCGCCACAGAAATCTCCTTCTGCAGGCTATGAGATCAAGAGAACTCCTGGCAAATCCTGGCACTGATCTTAGCTGGCCTCTCTTTTCAACCAATCAGGGAAAGGAGTGGGAAGTCTGAATAACTATCTAAACTGCATAAAATGTCATGTATTTTTCTGTGAATTTATGCTTATACCTTTGAAGCATACCTCTTGTGTACTTACATCCTTTTTGGCCAGATTGTAATAAACTTTTGTAGCTTTGCCTTCAACCCAGAGCACTTGTTGTCTGTCCTGGCTGATCTGGTTAAGAGGAAGCTCCCTGAGCATGGACCTCCTTATCCACGGTCCTAGCTGAAATCCATACAACTGCATTTTGGGGAAAAACTATGTCTTTCCCCTTATACTTATGGTTTAAGTGCTCAGGCTTTTTTAGTACAGTTTGAAGTACATCTTTAAAAGCGACACAGAAGTTTTTAGCTTTTTTTTTTTTACAGGTCCATCATGTATGGTAAAATGTACCTTTCTGCTTCTTGCAGAAACTAGGCAAGAAAGTAAAATATCTGGGCATATGGCTAACTAATAAAGTATCTACAATATTTGCAACAATTACAGTCAAATGTGGAAATAAATTAACTTGACTTCTGACAGTTTCAATTTCCTAGCAGCATTGCAGGAATTTGCATTTGTAGCTGAAATCCCCAAGTTATGTCAGCAAAAGTACTTCCTTGGGCATTTTGCAACAAAGGATCCAGTACTTCCTTGTGTAATGCTTTTTCCCTGGATGCACAATAGGTGGAATATGCCATGGTGCTTTGCCATCTCTTTGATCCAAATGGGCCAAGGGTCATCCTCTGCTGCTCTCCAGCTGCCCTTGAGCAGCTAAGAGGAAAGGAGCAGTCTTTTCCTTCCAAACTGTAAGTTTTAAGAACACTGTGGAACTGTAGACATTATCAACATCTGATTGGATCTTAGACCATATATGCTTACAATTACAAATGGCGTAAAATAGAATAGGTGAATATTCATTATAGGTGTTGGTGCCCAGGACAGTCTTTCGACTGGAACATGATTGCACAAA